CTACACATTTTTCTCTGACTTGCTTCCAAGACAGTGCACACTGGACATCTGAAAATGTAGGTTACAGCAACTTTATCATATTACCTACTCAAATGTGCTTAGTTTTCATCCCTGTGCCTTGTAGTTCATGAGTAATGTTACAGTAAAATGGCATACATTTCATATGTACACTGTTTTTTACATACACATATGTATAAGCATACATATAGTCAAATGAATTATGATGTACATGTTCTTGAAGGTGGCTCTGTCTTCTGAGATACAGCACTGCACATACTGACAAATGTTTCAGTATAACTTACTGCTTCCATCATCATATCACCACCCTGATGATGGAGGTAGCAATTTCCTCTGGAAAGTCCGTCAATATCTACCGGACTACACAGCGTTACAACCCAGAAGACAGCCATCTTCATACCCATCAAGATGAGAACCTCAAATGTCACTTACATGTTTTTGGATCGCAGTACTGTCTTTTACTAATGTGTAGGCTAGATCACGACTGATCAAACACCGAAGGTGGCTGTCTTCTGGGTTTATGTGTTATACAGTCTGGTAGAAGTTTACCGACATTTAAGAAGTGCTTGCTGCCTCCATCACCACCCTGATGATGGAGGCAGCAAGGACCTCTGAAACATCTGTCAACTCCTACCAGACTACATGGTGCAACAACCCAGAAGACGGACATTTTCAAACTAACGACTGTGAAAACCTCAAATCCTACATGATTTGACACCCTTATAGTAGAACTCTTCCAGTGAGTTGTTCTTGAAATTCCAAAATGTATTTCTGCACATAAGCCATCATTTCTTGCTTTGTAGTTTACAAACTTATATTTTTTACATACTAAGTAAACTGCTTCCTATTGGTGACAGCGCAGTTATTGTACAAAACAAATCTGCAACACTTATTATTGATCTCTTTGACTGAGTGGTATGAAGTACTCGCTATGAATTTCTGCCATTATCCTTCTATTTAAAGGAATGTTTTTGCAGATCTGAAAATAATTTGTTTTGTGTTCAGAAACTTAAAGTTTTTTGACTAGCATTAAAGACAGCAAAACTGGCACAAATGCATTCAACTTGTTTGATAAAACAACGTTTTTCTTACTGTAAGTGTCAGATGATAGAAATTTAAAAAAAAATTAAAACTTAAAACACAGAGTTGCTAGTGGTAACGAAGAGAAAATCTAAACATGGAGCAAAGACTCAATATCCACTATCGTTCTTAGAGAGAAATACCGATTAGGCCATATTTGTACATATCTTTAACTGTGAAATATACTGGCATTTCTCAATCTTCTCCAGGTTTCAGCATGCTAAAATATAGTTCAATACCTTACAGCTCAAACTATTTAAAACTGTGTTTGGATAAAGTACACATTACAGTTCATTTAAAAATGCAGCATGTTAGCTTTGTTACAGACAAGAAATTATGAATGTGGCAGCAAAAATACTTTGGTTAAAAGACGATTATTACGAGGAAGTGCGTGATCAAATATACAGGGCAGCAACGATTCATCAAGGACACTGCCAAGTTATGAAACAGGGATGAACAAGATTTTGCTGCTATTATCACAATTTAATAACTACTGTTACATGTGTAGAATCACATTTTGATTCGCTGTCGTGAGAACCTCAAATCCCACATTTTAATTTAAACGTTCGCAGAAAGCTCGTATACAAGTCACAGCACCTGGTCGAGAGACACTAACGTATACATATATTAATTCGATATCTACTGGCAAATTTTCAAAGGAATGTTTTACAGAAATGCATAAGCAACTCGAAGTAATATCTGACTATTGTTGACATTTGAGGTTTCCATTACAGTTACAGTAATTTATGTCTGATAATCATGACTTTTTTATTTTCATAAAAAATATAAAAGTGAAAATGAAAACCATGATAAAGGGAATAAATTGGCACCCACAGCACCACCGCTGAAGAAGTGTGCAGCGGAGAATCTGCACACACTACATCCATACGACCTTACGTGGTATTTAACTCACTTAAGTGAATAATAAATACTTGGTGCCCTAATAAAGTGTTTGTACATTCATATCAACAAGTACAGAAGATAAATACATTATACTAATTTAGGAGGGGTTGTATATGTACATTTATATAACATATATATGTCTAATAATATGAAAAAAGTAAGAAAAAGCACAGAACATATTTTAATAAATAAAATTTTGTTTTCTTATGTAAGGAGGACAATATTTGAAATGAGATTGCAGTTTTCAAATAAATAAGTTCTTCAAACTTAATTTAGTTAGTGAACTACATATGAAATGCACACTGTGGTGATAATATAAGAGATTTCTTAACACTGAAATGCTATCAGATGGTTTTTACATTCTTAGTTTTTGATTACGACCTCCTGGGATGTTGCTCGATGGCGTGTGCGAATGTTGAAGAGAAACTTGCAGCTCCATCTTCGTGATTCACGGCTGAACAACAAAGACAGAGCTAGCATGTTCCTTTGAAAAGTCGGTACACACTCGACTACGTTATGTTGTACCCCAGAACACGGTAATCTCAATTCATGCAGCCTTGAAAACTTCAAATCATACAAGTGTTAAATTCTTAAATTTTATTATAAATATAATAAAATGAATCAAGAGAATAGCGAAGAACATGTTACATCAGTATAAACCCCTGTAACTATTGACATTAGTCTGAATGTAATAACTGTGTATGTGAAATTAAAAATTCTTGACCACTTTTGTATCTCTTGTTGGAAACTGATGCATTTCAAATGTAGCTTAGGTCTTGGTAGAAATTCAGAACACTAACAAAGCATGCAAATACTGCACTCTGCTCAGAAAAAACATGTTTCGTAAACCAACAGAATATCACATGAATACGAACACTGAACAAACAGCATCTCCATGGAGCTATAATGTGGAGAGTACAATTCAAACGTCCCCACCTGTCGCCTTCATCAATTAGCTAAATATAAGCCAGTATGAAACTATGAAACTAGCAAAATGACAAACTGTCTATAAAATTCAGATACACTGCACTCTGCATGTCACTCCTAAAATTACTGTTCTCTCCTGTTATTAAGAACTCTCTCTCGGCTATCCTCCCGGTTCAGGCTGTTCATCCGGGGAGGTGAATTCCCATTACTCGTGATTCTGGACTTGCGACTACGTTTGAACTTTGCCATGTCCTCCCCAAACACATCCCCTGTGCGCAGAGCTGAGATGAGATCATCAAATTCTCCCTTGGCATCACCACTGTTCTCATGCCTTCCACTGCCAAAACCGACTCCCCCTCCACCAGCTGAAAGTCCATTGGTTAATCCATTCTTAAGGTTGTTCCCCACTTTGGCAAGTATTCCATCCCTGCTGTTTTTCCGCTCCATCGTCCGCTTCTTCAGCTGCACATACGTACACAGAAAAATATTGACACAAGGATATATGTTATGGTTAAGGTTATGTAGCTTTCTTGTTCTTTCTTATAGCCTCAGTTTCCAGACCGGCTCTGGGGCCCACCCAGGCTCCTGTCAAACAGGTAGTGAGGTCCTTTCCCAGGTTAAAGCTCACCCCCATCTATTGCAGAGGTCAAGAATGAGTAGGAGCTATACCTCCTCTCCTCTAAGTGCCAACATCGGCACATAATGGGATGACTTTACTTTACTTTTTTACCTTTCTTGTTACATCACATGCAATGTTTAACTTGACTCTGCTTCTTGTCGTTGCAGACTAGGAAATTTAATGCCTATATCAGTGATTCTTAACCCAAAATTGGATCACAATATTATCTCATCAGGTCACCGCAAGTCTGTGTAAAATCTTAATGACAAAAATTGTTTTCTGACAAAGTAGTGAAGGTAGAGAGGTGACATTTGAAATAACAGGCACGTGAGGACAGAGACAGAAATGTGCACACTAAATCTAACAATCTCACAGTCCTGTGGCCCAATCTGCTGATGAAGTAGGGATGGGCATGATCAGAGAAGAACAGAGGAGAGTACAGGGGAAGGGGAAGGGGAAGGCGACGTTCGGAAACAGGCTTCAGCCAGAACATTACCTGTGATAAAACCACGATCGAAAAATATTTTCAAGCAAATACAGAGCCAAGGTTCACACTAAGTTTGTTGTCTATTTTTTATTTTTTAAAAGTCATATACTCCTTATGTTTTATTAAATAACTTTTATATTTTATGTTATTTAGCTGCTCAGCAGATGGTACCAACCTATGTTAAATGTTTAATATTTGCGTCTACTCTGAAAGCTCCATAATCACATCTGAAACAGCTACTATTACAAATGCATATTATTATTAATTGTTAACTGGTTCTGCTGAAAATGACTACCTTACTTTAATTCAACAAATATAATTAACGACTGTGTTGCAAAAGCTGTAAGTTAGGTCACGGCTAACAAAGGTTGGTTTTCCTCTTACTCTTTGCCTGAAACTTTGCAACCTGTAACTATGGATAATATTCATCCATGTGTCTTATCCACCTGGCCAAGTCACACAGAAACCTGTGTTCTATTCACAGTTCACGCCCAAGAGAGCTGCTCTAACATTTTGTAACTGTCTGTGGTATCCCCCCCCCCCTACAGTTTTACCGAACATTCAACGGTGACTTTTTGTTCTAACAATATAGCACAATAACATTTTCTCAAGTGATCAGCTGCATCACCATCTGACAGGGCTGATCACCCAAGAAAATTTTATTGAGTTATGTCACCATGAAAGCTTCAAATCATAAATGTAGCACAAATATATTTGAAACACAAACAGAACACTGTGCCATTGAAACACGTGCTGCAAGCTTGAAACATACTGAATTCCAACACGCAACACAAAGTACTCAATCACGCAGTTGACGCACAAGAATATCGTTCTGGTTATTTATATTCCACATTTTTTTCATCGATTCAGATGCTTTTCTACAGCCTGCCACACTTTTCCACATGCAACAACTTAATAATCAATTAAAGGTCACATAACCATCCCATTTTGTGTGGAGAATATAACCAGAACTTATTTAATTTTTCATTTCGGTTCGTTAAGCCCATTTTGAAATTATGACTCACGGCAGTAAAACCTCTGAAGCCTGTCTAAGTAAAATGAAAAATTTCAGTCCATACCACAATCCATCACATACAAAAATTAAATAGTTAATGATTATATAATTTCTGTAGATTCTAATAATAATACAACACCCATAATTACAGTCTATAGGCAAAATACAGAGTTGCTGGATATTAATGCAAGTGGTTGGTCTTGAAAGTTTGACAACATTTTGTCAGCTGTTTATGCTTCACTGAGTAGTGCCAGGACGGACATAAAATTCACAAGAAACTTCTCGAAACATCTAGCCTCCAAAATTAGATTTTAAACCAAAATATGAGGGATAAGCACTGGTACATGATAATCAGAGCAGGCGATGAGGTAAAAATAGGTTCATTTAAACCTATTAACTCAGAAGTCTATATTTGTTAGCCCTGTGTTTGAAATTAATGCGATGTCAGCGTAATGAATCGATAATGTACGATTACAACTTTAAAATAATTTGATTACGCACGTAAAAAAATTTACCTATTCTGAGAGAGGCACTTCAAATTTCTTTACAAATGAGATGACACACATGTCATCACTTTCAAATGCAATGCGGTTGTACTAGTGGACAGGCTATCTCTTAAAAACAAAATTAAATTAATTTATTCATGGTTTATTTAATGACACTTTCATATCTCAGACTACAAAGTGTCGAATAAGAGAATGACAGCGAATAATAAATCGGAAAGAACGTGGAAGGAAGCAGTCATGGCCTAATTCATGATACTATCCTGGCATTTGTCTGGACAGACTGTGCGAAACCATGAAAAACCTGTCAGAATAGCCAGTCTCTGGGCTGAGATTTGAACCCCGGACCTCCTGAATATGAAGCAGTTACATAATTTTAATGATACAGGTCGCCAACTTGCTGCAGCCAAGAGGGATAGAATAAATTCTGCTACTCAAGCACTGTAAAACCGTCATGAATCTGAACAAAGTGGCTTGTTGAATTGGATAAGATATGGCTGTCTTTTGGATTGTAGTGCTGTGTAGTCTGGTAGAAGTTTACTAATGACTCCAACATCAGAGCAATGAGTAATGATGTTAGTAAACTTCTACCGGACTACTTTTTATTTTTTTATTTGTAGTGTTCTGTCTGACGACAGGTCCATATATTATGAACAGGATCCTTCCAACCTCTTCAGGTTGTCAGGGACCTGCTCATACATATATACATTCTTGGCAGAGATGATCAGAAGTGGTTTGCCATTGCCTTCTTCTGTGTGTGAATGGAGTAATTGTTGGGATGCCACGGAGAAACCGGGGAAGCCCCCGGAGGAAAACTCTGTGATGCCTAGACCACGGCCTTGCCCAACAGAAGTTATAAATTTGAGCACCACCGGGAATTGAATCCGGGACCCCAGGCTTACAAGGCTAGTGTTCTGACCACTAGACCACCGTGGCATATATATACCGGACTACATGGCGCCACAATTCAAAAGACAGCCATCTTCGGACTCACTGCCGTGAAAACCTTAAATTCTACTTGGACATGATATGAACCAACCTATCTGACAAATTTTTGTTTATTGAAATTTTAAAAAATGTGAAGTAAAACAGTAGGGCCCAACAAATTTATTTTGTATAAGAACAGATAACAATTAAAATATGTTCATATCTCTTAAGTTATGGGAATTACACCATATAAATCTCAAGAATATTAACAGGATAACACACTCTAATAAAACAATATTTTTGAGCATATAATTGAAATTCTACAAAATGATTGTGAAACCACTTGTAGGTAATGAGACATGGCAATAGCGAGAAAAGGATAGAAGTGGCAAAAGTGAGAATTTTAAGATACTCAGCACATGCGCATGTACACGGTGTGCACACACCTTAAAAAAGTCAGAATCATAAGAAATGCTTGTCACAAACAGCCCTGTAAGTGCCTAATTTGTGGAGATGTGAAGACAAGAAGAGAAGAGAATTATCAGAATAAGCGGAGCCTTACCTCCGCCTCCTGAGCAGCACGCTTTTCCTCTTCTTCTCGGCGGCGCCTCATGTTCTCATTGTCTTGGCGAGCCTCGTTGAAAGCTGTGAGGAATGCATCAAAGATTCCATAGAAATCATCTGGCTGAATTGTTGAGTTGTCCTCACCAAACAGTCTTACAGCTCGATCAAACTGAAACAGTTGAATGGAACAAACTTCACAATAACAGTGTTCTACACAGAAGAAACGTTTATGCTGTCAAGTCAAGAAGTTATGACATAATAAAAGTAGGGGTTCAGCTGGTTAGTTATAGTGTTCTTTGCTAGAACTGTTGGATACATTCTTCTCTTTGTTACTGACCAATCAGAACAAGCAGCAGCAAGAATTCAGTATGTTCAGAAACTCTCACAGAAGCGTCGACAGCTGAACTGTGTTACTGCAAGTTAACTCCAGTTCCTTGCGTAATGTTGTAATATTCTTTCTTGGTGGAAAAGAGGGGTGTTCATTTGTTTCGCTAAGATCACACAGTATTAACGAGTCCTTGATCCTATACATGCAAAAACACTTAAAAAATAAATCACATTTATTTAAAACCAGCGTTGTACAATGCCACATCTGGCACCAATGTATGTTCCGTTTCCTTGCTTCCCCCCACCATTATTTCCTTCAAAGACACAGTATGTGTGATTGGTGCATGCTTCAGCTACCAGTTCTAATGAAACGTGCTATAGGCTTGTACTCAATAACAATGCTAAGTTGTAGGCATCAACAATTGGCTTAAAAATAAATATGACAGCTAAGTAAATTTACACAATA